CTTAGCCTGTGGTAAAATTGGTTTCATCGTCTGTCATTTCGCTTAAAGTCGCAGAACCTATTGAGGTCGTTCAGTGAGGACTTAGTGTACTCTGCGCAGGCGTCGCAGTAGTTGCCTCCCTGTGTTACTTCACTGACTCCCGGAAACTTGAAGATCAGAAGGAAGCCGTGAATAGTTGATGGCACCCAGGTAGTAAGTCGCTGAGCTGGGACTCATGCTCAGCACACTTGCTCTTCCTGCTCTAGAAGCATCTAATTACTGAGCTGTGTCCACCCGCAGACAGGCTGTTGGACCACCGCACACCTCCCCTGTGGTTTGCCCAGGGTGGTCTGGCCATGCCTATTGTCCTACATAATCACCCACGGCAACCGTTTTTCCTCAAGAGTGTCTGAGCTTGGACGCTAAATTCTGTGGGCTGCAGTGTTATGTATGAGGCTTCAAATGTCAGCTAAGCGAGGGCTGAGATCTTTGTTTTGTTCACGGGGAATATGCCAAACACCTGGAACAGAGTGCGGCACAGAGTAGTGGGCAGTAAATGTGTGTTGAATCAATGGCTGTTGAGTTGATTACTGGGGAGCCACACAGGTACCTTTCAGGTGAAGAAAAGCCACACGATGGGGCGAGGGTTGTTCTCGTAAAATAGCTCTGAACACACACGGATGCCTGGCTCTTGGTCCCTCTCTGTGGTTACAGCAAGCTGCGCCTGGTTTGGGTGTTATGTTTTGACTCATGCACATCGAATGAATACCTGCTTCTTACCGGTATGGTCCAGTTGGTCATCTCAGATGAAGATGAAAGCCTCCCAGTGAATGGGGGTGTTGGGAGGGGGTCCCTCATGCAGGGTCAGAAACGAAGCCCATCAAATCGAGCCCCGGGTGACTTTGTGGAGGAAAAGTGAGGTGGATTATGTGCTCAGCACAGCCTGACATGCAGGCCAGGCTGGTAATCCATCCCTTTTATGCACTGTGTGTCTGGCCACTTCCAGCTGCAGAAGAAAGCCTGACCTTTGAGAGGGCTATAAAAAGACAGCTGATTTCACTCCTCTCCTCACCATGCGCCTTTAACAAAGGAGGAAGAGTGAAGGGCCCCTGTGTTCTATTGAAAAGTACACAAAAGCAACCCAGCATTTTGTCCAGCTCCGGGCAGCCTGATGTGGCCAGGCGAGAACCCCACTGTGGCTGTCGGCAGAGGGACACCCTTCCCTGCCAGCCTGCCAGCACCGCCAGGCTGGGGCCGGGGAGACGGTTTGGGAAGGCTGGGCAAGAGCATCAGAACCAGGAGTCCGAGATGATTGGCTATGCTGGCTCTGGAAGACTTAGAAATCACACCTACAGTTGTGATGGGCTAAGCAGGTCGGATGAAGGGCATCATACCCTCCAGTGAGTCTTCAAAGGTGCAGTTGACAAAGACATTCTAAAGGCTGAGAGTTGCTGCAGGTTTCAGAGGAAGGGAGCGACTTGTTCCTGCTCCCCACCCCTTCCAGTGGGGGGCTAGGATGGCTCCACGTAGTGTCAG